GAATTCATGAATGCTGAACATATATTCTTTTGCCGATCTTTCCTATCTCCCGTTCCTAAATGTGACTCAGTGGAGAGTAACATTTGTGAAACGTGGAATGGATCTATCATTAAGTTTAGGGGCATGAGAATCATAGATATGCTTGAGGGTATCCGGGGTTATATGATGGAAATGATTGTCATTAAGCACAAAATGTTAGCTGATTGTGATGATGATCTGTGCCCTAGAATTAGGGGAAAATTTGAGAAAGAAAAGGCCCTAGCTAGGTTGTGTACCTCTAGGCAGACTTTGGATGATAAGTGCGAGGTAAGGATGGGGGAATCAGGGTACATTGTCGACCTCCAGACAAAGACTTGTACATGTGGTTACTGGGCCCTAAGTGGGCTCCCATGTTGCCATGTAGTCTCGGCAATAACTCACTTGAGGAAAGAGGTTGATGACTACGTCCATCCAGCCTACCATTGTTGTCAATGCATACAAGGTTGGGATTGGGATCCCTTGTTTGGATGGAATACAATCATGGTCATAAGGATTAGGTTATCAAGTACTCCCTCCAAATAATAGAAGAATGCCAAGAAGGACAAAGAAAAATAGAAGAAAGGCTGCTCGCGAGTTTGGGGTTCGACCTCAAGCAACCGGGGTAGGTGAAGAAGTGTCAAGGAAGGGGACTATAATCCATTGCTCTAAGGGTGGTGGAGAGGTCCACAATGCCAGAGGATGCAAAAATCCATCTGTTTCCCAAGCACCAGTGAGTTATACTTTCCTAGAGTTCAATTTTATTGATTTAAGTTGCTTATTACACTATTACTAACTCTCGAACTAACCACTTACAACCTATTGACAGAGAAGCACCTTTAGACCTAGAGTTGAGCCTGTTGCAGCAGATCAACCTGGAGCCATAGGCGGAGGGAGAGCACCTGGGATGTGTTCCAGGACACAGGTGAATTCTAGGGGTAAAAAAAACACCCCACGTATGTCCACAACAACCTTCAAACCCATGACCTCACCTTCGTATAAGATTGTTCTGCCACTACAACAACTCACTACTTGTTAACAATCTAATATAAAATAAATTTATTACTAATATACGAAATTCCAAATTAAAATCCCTAATCGATTTCTCTCTCTATCAGACAATTCCTTTCTTCTTTTAGAACCAGAAACGCGGCTTGCCTGCAACCGCAACGAACGAATCCATTCCTCCCTTCCCTTCAGTCGCGGCGTCAACGCTAGTGAACTCCGTACCCCTCGTCGGCGGCATCTGCTGCTTTTAACCAGGAGAAGTTGTTTAGTCTTACGAGATTTTATCCTGATGAGTTTGGTTCCATTCATGATACTATCATTCGACAACAACTTGTTGGGTATGGTTGATGAGAGATTTGCCAGGTTGAAAACGCGTCGTGGTTGTTTGTGAAACAATGATTGTATTAGTCCGTTATTTCTCTATTATCTATGAATGAACTATTTTCATATTGTTAATTTTAATTATATTTATTAAATAATTATTTTATTAAATAATTCTTTATGTTTATATTTTGAGAAGAGGACACAGGTACTTTTGAATCCTGGCTCCGCCACTGCCTGGGGCCATGGTTCAGGAAATCGTACCGGATGTCATACCGGATTGGTCTATGGTAGGGTATTTTGTGGTACGATCGTGGTTTAACCGTTGTTTATTGGTTAAATACCATTTTGTAATTAAATAGTATTTTTTTGTTAAAAAACCATATCGGAAGATTGAGGATACCGTTTCGGAGTAAAACCGAAATAAAATCAGAATATACTGGATAACAAACCCGAATAAACTACATAGTAAATAGGCATAGGTAATATAACAAACCTTTGTTTTACTAGGGGCTGCTCCTTAATCAACCGATCGAGCTTCTTCTCCACTGGTCATTGCTGCCAAAACATCCAAAATTGAAATTCTAATAAGAATAGAGATACCAAGTATAAAGTCACCAAACATTATTCATTGTCGCACAATTTGTCTAGCTGCTAGATGGTTGATCTTCTTGCCTAATAGTCTAATTTTTGCACCCCCAAGATGATAATGGGAAGCTCATTTATCTTATTTCAATCAAAAAGCAGCAATGGCCAATTCACTCCACTATGTTGGTTCATGATGTACAAGCAAATACAAAACCCTCCTAAAATAGAAGGGCGAGCCAAAACCTAAGGAACTATGGACACACGAGGAAAGAAAAAGCACGCTATTTCTATTTACCTCATTTGAAAACCAAATTTTATGGTATCTGGGATGGGAAATTGATTCCGGGTGTCGAGGAGGGGAGGTCGCCAGAGGCAGAGGAAGGGGAGGTCAAACACATGAGGGAGAGTGGGAAACTCGTCCTCTGTCCTTCTCGGCGGTCGCTAGAGGCAAGGGAGGTCGAGCATATAAGGGATACTCGGCCTCTGTCCTTCTCGTCGGTTGCCAGATGCAGGGGAGGTCGAGCACAGGAGGGAGCCTCGGCGCGACGGTTTCTGGAGCTCGCCTTCTCGCCGATCGTTGGAGGCAGGGTTGGGCTGGAGAACAATCGATCGGCGGCGGTGGGCGTTCTCCAGAGCAGACGGTGTTCTCTTCCTTTTTGAGCAGGCAGCAAATAGTGTTTTCTGGAGAAGAGGAGGAGTGGCAGGCCGAATTGAAACGATGGGGAAGGAAGAATCGATTAGGGTTAGGGTTGTTAGTAAGGACGACTCTTTTTTTTTTAATTTCGTCGCATGAACGGTGACGTTCTTCGAAATCAGCCTACCGCTAGTTGGAACAGAACCAGACGGTATTTCGGCTCGTGTCGGTTACGTCGGAAAAACCGCTAGACGCGGTAAATTATCTGCAGAATGGATATCGTATCGCCACTAGTCTGGTTTCTGGTTTAAGATCCGATTTCCTTTTCCATGCCTGAGCCAAACACTAGTAAAAGGACAAGGGTTGGTCTTTGCTCAAAGTGTGGTTACATACATTGCTCGAACTTGCCCCCTTAATAAAGGAGTTGAAATTTAGGTATATCTAAAGTACATTACTTAGTTATGGAATCTGGATTTACCAAAGCATGTTGTTCTGTGAATGTGTGATGTTGAACTATAATATGGTATTATGTAGACAGTTAGGCTGAATGTTGATGATAAAAGAACTATTCAACAGGAAATGCGAGTTGCAACAACAGTGGTGGGAGTATATGTAAACGAGAGGACTGGAAACCAATATGTTAGGATTAGTTTATGATAATAAACAACCACAAGATTATTTGAATGTTTTGTTTTCAATGATTATCCACTTGAATACTTTGTTTTTCCCCCCAGCTTAACGGAGCAAGTGGGCGTCTTGTAGGGAACAACCAGCCAATTGTTGTGGATGTCCAGGGAAGCTAGCCACCACTCACTCAACCTTAGATGTTTCAGAACATGGTCAATCAACCTTTTGTCAACTTCCTCTTAGGATAGCTTGAATTCTACTAATGTAATGTATTGGGGGGGGGGGGGGGGGGGTGTTACTATTTTAGGTCGTCTTGCAATCGATATTGCTAGCTTATTCGGATTTATCTTTGTTGTGTAAGGAACAAATGGTTGTGTATGCACAGTTCTTTATTTGAGATTTGGTGGTTCAGATTGCCATGTTTCATTCACTCAGAATGGTTAATGTTTAAGTGTTGATCTCTCTATGATTCTGTGTACTAGACTATGACAGGAAACACATGGTCCATTACATTAAACAAGTTCCAATTGTTTTTCAAATAGTACCGTAACCCCAAATACATTTACATACCAGATTCATACCCCCACAAAACAAGAATGAAAGAGGCATTCACAACAAGGAGAATTGTTAACATAATATGAATAAATCGAACATCATCATTCAATCTACTTCCTTGGGCTAACATAGTCTCATGATCTTTCATCCACACCATCATCTTTTGAGCTAATCTCTTTTTCTTCTTCTTTCTCCTCTCTGCCTTAGACTCAGCCAGGCGCAAACTGTCCTCAAGTTGGCATATTAGGCTCTCCATAGCACCCTTTCGGTCCTCCATTTCATCACCAACCATCTCTAACCACCTAAAAACGAAAATTTTTCTTCCCCAGATTTTCAATCCCATTCTGCACCATGAATATGGTTTAGTTAGAGAATCAAAGAGTCAAAGACACCCAATTACCTCGAGAATCAATCTATCCCTTACCTGCTTCCAATATGGACATCCGTAATGCATGGGTTCGTCTCGGTACTAGACGTCTTAATCACAGCGGGAACATTGTGCTTGCAAAGCACCATCCCACCGCCGCCGACGTTTATCGCATATGAAGAACCCCGTTGTGACATCGCTACAGATCGAGAAAATGAAGAGGAATTCAAAACGGCGGAGGCGCGAGCAAGGAGGAGATGAGAGCCGCTGGCGCTGATCTACAGCGGCGGCGGTGGCGTGGTCTCCAGCGGCGGTGTCGCTCTGAGAACCCTAATTCGTGAGTTTGTGATTTTCGGGTATAGGAAGGAAGGAGGAAGTGAAGTCGACAAATATAAAAAAAGCAATTAATTTTTTTTTGAATGCTTTGTTGATGTGGCAATTCACGTGTACATTATGCTGATGTGGAGGTCGGATTCCGTCCTTGTCAGTGTTCCGTCAAACGATTTAACGGAGTCACAGACGACATTAAAGTTTCTAACGGATTTGACTAGATTTGTCACACTACCTTCAATTTTTTGGGCTGTTTTGTGTTTTTGAATAGTTATAATTATATTTGTCACAAATGTAAAATTTATGGCTATACAAGTGTATTTTGCTTTTTTATTATTCAATTCAAGCGTGATATAGTTTCAAACAAAAAAATACTGTTGGGCCAAGCAGTGTCCATGTGAATTCGGGCCTAAATACCGAGGTCCTAGATTGGGCCTGTGCCTTTGTCTTGAGGATTTGCCATTTATTGGGCCGAGGCTGGGCTTTCATTAATCATTAGTGTTCAGTTAAGCACTTCGTATAATCAAATCGGCATTTCCTATTTTCCTTCCTTCTCTCTCATTTCGTTCCCTCCCCTCTTTTTTTGAAGAACGCCCTTCTTCCGCACCAGAACCAGATACAAAGCTTTTTGCTTGCTCTCTTCCCAAAAACCCTAGTTTCCATTTCCCCTCCATTCTTCCTGCAGGGGAAAGGATACCACTTGAACATGCCGAGAGAAATCATCACTCTGCAAGTGGGACAATGCGGGAACCAGATTGGGATGGAGTTCTGGAAGCAGCTTTGCCTCGAGCATGGCATCAGCAAAGACGGCATTCTTGAGGATTTCGCTACTCAGGTCTCTTCTCGTTTGTTCCCACTTCTTCATTCACTCAATTATTCGATTACCCAAGACCGCAATTCAAATGGGCAAGCTTAATATGGCTCACTGTCTGTGGCCGCCAGTCATTTTGACTTGCTCTTCTAGCTTGCATTTTCCCTGCTGTTCCTTATTTCTTGTGTACCTCATCTGTTCTTTTGCTGACTTGTGGCGATGCAGGGAGGTGACAGGAAAGACGTGTTCTTTTACCAAGCTGATGACCAGCACTATATACCTCGTGCTTTGCTAATCGATTTGGAGCCCAGAGTGATAAATGGAATTCAGAACGGTGAATATAGGAATCTCTACAACCACGAGAACATCTTTGTTTCAGATCATGGTGGGGGTGCTGGAAACAACTGGGCCAGTGGATATCATCAGGTTAGTCGCTGGATTTTTCAAAAGTTTGGATTTTTTAATACCTGACTTTATCTGTGTGCTAACATCTCACTTAACTCTGACAGGGTCAAGGGGTTGAAGAAGATATAATGGACATGATAGATAGAGAAGCTGATGGAAGCGATAGTCTTGAGGGTTTTGTGCTTTGTCATTCGATTGCCGGAGGGACTGGCTCAGGTTTGATTTACCTGAATTTAAAGAACATAAACCCTTAGTTCTGAGTCGATGTACTCCTTCCAGTGTGAGCTTTCCATACTGCTTGGTACCGGAAACTTTAGCTCAATATTCTTCTATTAGTTTGAAGTGATTTGACAACATAAACTAATCTGCATTTGGGAAGTGTGAGGTTCTCCTCAATTACGTCATGGATAGCAGGTTCCAATGTATAACTGGTTATGTTCCTCTGTGAAAGTTTCACTTCAATGACTAACAATTATGCGCAAGGGGCATCAATGCATGCTCATTTACTCATTTAATGTTGTTTTCATTTGCTATGAAGGTATGGGCTCATATCTGCTGGAGACTTTGAATGACCGTTATAGCAAAAAATTGGTGCAGACGTATAGTGTATTTCCAAACCAGATGGAGACAAGTGACGTGGTTGTTCAACCATACAACTCTCTGTTAACACTCAAGAGACTGACACTCAATGCGGATTGCGTTGTCGTTCTTGACAACACTGCTCTCAATAGAATTGCAGTGGAGCGCCTACATTTGTCGAATCCTACTTTTGCTCAAACAAACTCTTTGGTATCTACTGTGATGTCTGCCAGCACAACTACACTGAGGTATCCTGGGTATATGAACAACGACTTGGTTGGACTTCTTGCGTCTCTAATTCCCACACCAAGATGCCATTTTCTCATGACAGGATATACACCACTTACTGTGGAAAGACAGGTATTCTCTCATACAGTGATGTCAGCTTTCCCCTAGTAGTGTTCTTACCTCGGGCTTCAATTATTTATAGTTGGATATGTTAAACTTGAGGAATGTTTTTCCATGGTTACAATGATAAGCTTATGGATTCTTCTATATAGAGGTTCACGGTCCAGTTGAATTGATTTGTTTTCCTTGATTAATACCAGCACCATAGTCATTTTATACACCTGGGGGACAATTTTGTGCGATTCCTATCCATTAGTTTTTTCCAGATTTGAACAACGGATTTCCTAAGTTTGACTGTTTGATAATACTATTTGCTTTGGCAGGCTAATGTTATCCGTAAAACTACTGTATTAGATGTCATGAGAAGGCTCCTACAGGTAAATGATGGTTACTGATTGTCAGCAAGATTTCTTAGGGCACTCTCTTGACATTAGCTGTCTTTTCCCAGACAAAAAACATCATGGTTTCTTCATACGCTAGGACAAAAGAAGCTAGTCAAGCCAAGTATATTTCGATATTAAACATAATCCAAGGGGAGGTAGACCCGACTCAGGTAACAATCATTTACCTTTTAGTTAAAGTTCTGTCTTTTGAAATTGATCTATTCCTGACTTGGATTACTTTCCATCTTAGTGTGGTTTAGATGATTTGATTGCAATAGATAGCCTATGAGTTTACTCTTGTTGTACTGCTTATCATTTTTCTCTGTGGTATATGCTTTACTGTGCTATAAATTTCGCAATTCCAACATTTCTTTATCCGTTATCAGGTCCATGAGAGTTTGCAGAGGATTCGCGAGAGGAAGCTTGTCAATTTTATAGAGTGGGGCCCAGCAAGTATACAGGTATTTCTCCTCCCTTTGCATTCTGTCCGATAATTTATGTCTCGTCTCTCCATTTCATCTAACCTCATTGATTTGTTTATTTCCATGCTACTAGGTTGCATTGTCAAGGAAGTCTCCGTACGTCCAGACTGCTCATAGGGTGGGACTTGACTTTCTGTTTTACTGCTGATTTGCCTAACAATAAAATCTGTGCACAAGTTTGGAGGACATCTAATTTGTCTTAAATATTTTGTGCTTTTGTAGGTAAGTGGTCTCATGTTAGCAAGCCATACCAGCATACGGCATCTCTTCGACAAAGTTGTGTTCCAGTATGCCAAGTTGAGAGGGAAGCAAGCTTTTCTTGATAACTACCGGAAGTTCCCAATGTTTGCCGTGAGTTTCCTTATCATGGTTTCTATAATGATTGAGGAATTTTTGGTTTGCACATTTTTCTTCAGAATACCTCCAAACTTCCATTACATAACCAAGTTGTGTATGTCACATTCTGTTCAGTTTGGTTTGGGCAAAAATTGTTTTAATAAAAATTCAAAATTCTTGAGCTAGTTTATATGATAAGTACTCTGCCTTCATAATTACTCGTGTGCTGAATGTGATCAGGACAATGACCTTTCTGAGTTCGACGAATCAAGGGAAATAATCAGTAGTTTGATTGATGAATATAAGGCTTGTGAATCTCCTGACTACATCAAGTGGGGAATGGAGGTATATTTCCCCGATGAACAACTCACATCCTCTATCTCTACTTATCCAGCTGAACCTATGTGTAATCTGTAATTGTTTATGAACTATTCGCTAACGACATTTGTTTTAATTCAGGATCCTGACCACCTCCTGACAGGTGATGGCAATGCTTCAGGATCAGTGGATCCAAAATTAGCAGTTTGAAAATTCTAAATCGTGAGTTGAACATGAATTTCCCACACATCCAATATATTTCCGCAAGAGCAGAAGTAATTTTGGAATGGCGGTTGATACCTAGGTTAGTTTCGTTTCATTGTCAAGAACAATATAGGAGTAACTAGCTTGAATGTCCATCTGCAGGGGATGCAATGAGGCATTAATAGCGCCATGGGAAAGAGGACTAGTTAGTTGTGCACATATTTACTTTGTTGGGTTATGCCTGTTTGTTGGAAGCTTTGATCGAACGTGTGGTATCCTGTACTTTGGTTTGCTGTAAGATTCAATTTCTACCATGGAGGATTCAGAATCTCTCTGTACCTGTATTGGGGTTTCGAGAAATTGGACAAGTATTGGTCGGAGTGGCCTAATTCCTGAATGTAGGTGATAGATCATCACTTCTGTAATGCATTTGTATAAAATTTGTCAGACATGGCAATTGGCATGGCTAGGCATCTGAAACTCACCTTTTCCCCAAAGTTGTAGGCAGTTTTGGAGTTCAATTCTAAAGGTATGATATTGAATCAGTGACACATTTGGCCTACAAATATGCTGGAAGTTGAACTCTTAGCATGTGCATTGGGCAACATGTTCATGTTTCCTATCAATTGTCGGCTGCCAAGGGGTAGTGGTTATTAGGGATGGCATATCAGACCGCGCGGGCGGGTACTCGCCCGAAAACCGGCTGGGCGGACCAGTTTTTACCCGGAGTTGACGGTGATTTAACGGATTCGGGGAAACCCGTTATCCGTGGATAACGGACATCGGGCGGTGACGGAGTCCAGGCTATCCGCCCCGAGCCCGCCCCGAGCCATAAAAACGACGTCGTATTATGAGCATATATATATCCATAAGTCGAGTAGAGAAACCCTAATCCCTAATTGGAAAATCGCCGCTCTCTCACTCTCTCTTCTCTTCTCAGTTCTCTGCTCTCAATCGCCGCTCAAATCCATCGATTCGATTCCCCCCCGCGAAATTCTCTCCACCCAGGCTGTCAATCATTCATTATCCACCAATCAAAGCCTAATATCCTCATCGATTTAGGCAAAGAACAACATGCAAAAGGAGAAGAATCAGAAGATGACTGTTACAATCTCCGATTCGAGGTTATTGGGAGGATTTGTCGTCGATTATTGTTCCGATAATCCAGAACTCGAGATAAGTACCTTCCAATTCAATTCTTCTTTCTTGTTTCAGTTTCTTGCTTTAGTTTTAGGTTCGTTTAAATTAACTCGAGTCGATTGGTTCTTTCTAGGGCTCTTCTGTTTCATCTTCATTTGCACCTGGGACTGCATGCATGCTCTGATACTCGAGGTAATCCCTAATCAAATTTCCTTAGTCAGTTACTCAGTTAGTGTTTAGTAATTAGTAGTTTGTTGTATTGACTTTGACTCATTGGATTGTAATGTTTGTACTTTTGTTTGAGTTTTTGCAGTTTTGTATCAGGCATCAGTTCACCATCCACAACTCTGGACAATAGATCCCCTCTGTCCAGATTCGAGGTTAGTTAAAGAATTAAGGACATTTTACTTAATTTGGTTTGCATGTATTAGGAATTAGGGACTCGAGTTTCTGTTGATTGCTTGGGTGTTGGGTCTGCTCATGAATCATGTCTTGTTTAGTATAAGTGTCTCATCTGCATGTTACAATTGAATCTAAAAGACTATAAATTTGAACCTAGAAATCTTATAGCTAAAGCCTAATAAGTAACCAAGCAATCCTTTGATGTTTATACTCATTTATCTCAATGTCAGATGGAAGGTGCACCTGAAAATGTTGTCAATGCTCCTGTTCCTCCACAACCTGCCCCTGTTGATCAAAACAATCAACCTGAACAAGTTGGTAATGGTAACGGTAACTTGGCTAATGAAAATTCTTAACTGCTTGTTGAAGAATGCAAATTGACTTCTGATGTATGGCCTCATTACATTAGGGTTAAGGTTAATGGGGTTATTAAAGCTAAGTGCAAGTACTGTCGAAAAAACCTTGGTGGTGATACTCGTAATGGAACCTCGCACCTTAGGACTCATGTGAAAACCTGTATAAAAAAAGGATACATGATGGTGCTCAAAAAATTCTTTGCCCTAATTACAAAGCAACTGGAAAACCCCTATTATCTGCTACACAGTTCAACTCTGATGTGTCTAGGAAGGAGCTGAGCTCAATGATTTTGGTCCATGAGTACCCTCTTAGCATTGTTGAACACTTGGGTTTCAAGCGTTTCTGTTGTTCTTTGCAACCACAGTTTACTGTGCCTTGTAGAAATACTGTGAAGAAAGATATATTGTCTTTGTATGGGGTTGAAAGGAGTAACTACCAAAAGGTTATTGATGGTAATTTGGGTAGAATTGCTGTGACCACTGATTTATGGACTGCCCCAAACCAGAAGAGGGGTTATATGGCAGTCACAACTCACTTTATTGATAATACTTTGAAGCTAAGAAACTCAATGCTAAAGTTTTTGTATGTCCCTGCCCCTCATACGAGTGAGAGGCTTGCAAGAAAACTGTTTTAGTGTCTTCTGAATTGGAACATTGATGGAAAGTTGTCTGCAATCACCTTGGACAACTGCTCCACTAATGATTCCATGATTGCTCACCTTAAGAATAAACTTGTTTTGAATAACTTGTTGATGGATGGTAGACTTATTCATATGAGGTGTTCTGCTCATATACTGAACCTTATTGTGAAAGATGGTTTGGATGTGATAAAGGATGGAATCCATTTGATTAGGGAGAGTGTGGTGTATTGGACATCCACACCTAAGAGGGTCCAGACTTTCAATGAAGCTGTTAAACAGCTTAAGTTGGCTGTTGGGAAAAAACTTGTGCTTGATTGTCCAACAAGGTGGAATTCTACCTATGATATGCTCTCTATTGCTCTTCTGTACAGAGATGTCTTTTTTCGTTTAAGACAAATGGATAGTCAATACACATCAGCTCCTACTAATGAGCACTGAGATTTTGCTGCTATTGTGATTGATAAACTGCTCATTTTCAGTGAGATGACTGCATTATTTTCTGGTACCAAGTACCCCACTGCCAATCTGTTTTTCTCTAAGGTCTGTGATCTGCGATTGAAATTGAGTGACTGGTATGCTGATCTTAATCCTGTTATTTCTGCCATGGCTGGAAATATGTGGTTGAAATTCACAAAGTATTGGGATGATATACATCTTGTTCTGGCAGTTTCAGTGGTTCTGGATCCTAGGTACAAAATGCATGTCATTGAGTATTATGCTGCTAAGTTTGGCAACTCTGATACTTACTTGGTGGCTAAGGATCTAAAACAGCTGATTTGTGGTTTGATTAATGATTATCAAACCAAGGCTGAAAAGAAATCTGGTTCTTCTGTCAATGAACCGATTGGAAATGCAAATGCCTCTGTTTCAGCAACTGATCTTGATTTCGAGTTGTTTGTTAGTCAGAGGAAAAAGAGCAAAACAACTCTGATTACTACTGAGTTGGACCATTATCTTGCTGAGGAACTTATTCTTCGTGATCCATCTGCTGAATTTGATCTCTTGATGTGGTGGAAGTTGAATGGCCTTAAGTATCCTACTTTGCAAGCAATTGCAAGGGACTTTTTAGCTATACCAATAACATCAGTTGCTTCCGAGAGTGCTTTCAGCTCTGGTGGGAGGTTGTTAGACCCCCACAGGAGCAGGCTCGACTATTCTACTGTGGAGGCTATGTTGTGCAGTCGTAGCTGGGTTAGGGAAGCCTGGCTAAGAGGTAACCTGCAATACCTTCGAGTTTAGTCTTAGTAGTAGCTTTTGGTTCATTTAAACAAGTGACTGAGTGAGTTTGTTCTATTTCTGCAGAATCAAAGGCTGCTGCTGCTGTGGAGGCAATGGATGGACTGTTTACTGGGCTGTCAGTTCACGATTCAAGTGTAGAAGATCAGGAAAATGAGGGTATGTTAGTTGGTTTTTAGTTTTTAGTTGGTAAGTTATGATGTATGAACTGCATAAGTGAACAAAGTTTTTTTTTTATATTGATTGCAGTCCAGGAACTTCTGAATCTGGATTCACCATTCTCCTTTGATTACTGATTATTGGAACCTCAGAAGAGAAGGTATATAATACATTCAAACTGACTTTTCTCCTTTATTGTAAGCTTGTATCTGTTCCTTCATATTTTTGTTTTCTTGCAGGGAATGAATGTCAATTTGTCATGTGCTGCTTGACTGCTTCTGTTCTTCAAATCTGGTTGCTGCCTTGCTGGTGCCTTTGAGAGTTTGGCTTACTGCCTTTGAGAGTTTGAGTTTGAGTGTGCTTTATTTGTTCCAAATTTGAACAATGGATTGGTGTGTGGCTTACTGCCTTTGAGAGTGCTTTACTTGTTTTTTCTTTGCTACTTATGACTATTAGACAGTTGATGAACTCATGAACAATTGAGGAACTCTTGAAAATTCAGAGTTCTGGGTGGTGGGTGGGTTGCAGCCTTATAGGCTTTATGTTAAGCTGCTTTTGATGGTGCTCAACTTTGAATTTGAAATGAATTATGTTTTTCCAGTTATTTTATTGTTTGAATATGTTAATTATTTAGGGTTTGTAGCGGGTAACGGGGACCCGTGGATTTCCCGAATCCGTTGCTTCACGGTGACGGTAGCAAATTTGGCCCCGTTGAATGGCCGGGGACAGGGTTGGGGAAACCCGACACTATTCACGGACGGGGAACGGATGGTATGAATCCGTCCCCGATCCGCCCCGTTGCCAACCCTGGTGGTTATGCTTTGACAGCGTTAAATTTGATTAAATAGCGCGAATTTCATATTTTTGGTTGATTTGTGAAATGTTTGCTCTGAGCTCTCTTGATTATGGGATTGGGAAGTAAGAGCTGTAAGCTTTTCTCCTCTGTTCCTTGAATTATATGAATCGATTTGTTTTATTTTCTATTTAAATATATTCCAAGCCCGCCCTTACATGAACAATGTAGCAGAGAAACCATAACTAAACACAAATTAGAATAATAATTGCACTGAAATCACAATTACAAAACCAAGCTCACTCATGAGCCACTGCCACAACTTGCTTCCCAACGTTGCGGCCACTGAAGAGTCCCACAAGGGCAGCAGGGCCGTTCTCCAGACCTTCAGCTACGTCTTCCACATAAGCAATCTTCCCTTCTTTCACGTAAGGCACAACATCATCCAAGAGCTCAGAGTATCGGGCGAAGTAATCAAACGACACAAAACCTTGCATCCGAACACGCTTGTATATCATTGCAGCTAGGTTGTGAACGCCTTCATGATGCTCTAGGTTGTACTGGGAGATCATTCCACAAACTGCAATTCGCCCATGGACTCGTATGTTGGAAAGGACTGCATCAAGCATTTTGCCACCCACGTTCTCGAAGTAGATGTCGATGCCCTCAGGGAAGTACCTGTATCGGAGAAGAAAAAAACAGCGAATTCTTTAATAAACCGGTTTGATAGTGGAGTGGTGTCAAAGTTTGACGACGGAAGACCCAAATGGAAAGGCCTTTAGGGGTCGTTTGGATGAGGAAATGTGTAAATGAGAGATTTGGATTAAAATCTCTCAATTAAAAACCTAGCTATTTTTAATGTAGGATTTGACCCAAATTACTTGTTTGGAAATGAATGAGGGATTTTAATTAAAAAATAAAATTACAATTCTACCCATCCCTAATTTATCCCTCATCTGCGTTTGTTTCTTCTTCCCTTTCCTTTGTTGTCTGCTTTCTATTTTCATTATATTGAACAAGAAATCCAGCAAATTAGATCTGTAGAGATGCCGATGGAAAGCTCAATTCTACCAGCGAGTGGAGGTATGCGAGTGAAGATCTGATCGTTGGTGAAATTGGAGGCGAATTTGACTAGTGACTAGCATCCTCCTCTCACTGCTTCATCTCCGTCGGAATCGATTGCTGGCCAGCTACGCTTTGTTGGCTTTGCAGTTGTGGGGATTGGCTTTACCCTCTCTAGGGATATCTGGAAGCTGCTCCGGAGAAGATACGCCAGCGGTTGGGGTTTGGGAGCTGGTATGGTGAGGGAGGATGACAGTGGGGTGATTCGAGAAGAGTGCAGAAGGCTTATCGGAGAAAGGAAGAAAGTCGAAGAAGAAGAGGTGAGGGTAGGTTTTGGAAAAATTAAAACAAGAATGAGAGATTTAGAAATAGCTGATGGGGATCAGCTATTTCAAAAACTCTTATTTGAGAGTTTCTGAAATTCCTAATTACGAAAACCCTCATGTTACCAAACGCATGATTGTTTTAAAATCCTGCATAATGAGAGATTGTTTTAAAATCCTGCATAATGAGAGATTGTTTTAAAATCCCTCACAAATCCCTCACTACAATCTCTAATCCAAACGACCCCTTAGTCTTTTTAGTTTTTACCTTTTGAGAGCTGCATCCAAGTCATTCTCCTCTTTGTAGTTGAACGCCTCATCGAACCCAAACTTGGACTTGAGCAGCTCAACCTTTTGTTTGCTTCCAGCGCTTCCAACGACGTAGCAACCGGCCAGCTTTGCAAATTGGCCAACCAGCTGGCCAACTGCACCAGATGCTGCTGAAACAAAGACATACTCTCCTTTCTTGGGTGCACAAACGTCATGGAACCCGAAATATGCAGTCACACCAGGCATACCTACCACCATTACACCAAAAATGATCAAACAAAGAAGATAATCACAACCATCGCGCGAATAGATCGAGCTGTCGGGAGAAGTCCAGGAATAGATCGTATTAAGGCAAGCATTTCAATTTCATGCTTACCAAGGAGACCGGTATAATAGGAAAGGGGAACATCTTCTGTGTTGGTAATCTTGAACAGGGTTTTAGTGTTTGAGATGATGCTGTATTCTTCCCAGCTAGTCACTCCCCATACAAAATCTCCAGATTTGAATTCTGCCACTCCTGAATCCACCACTTTGCCCACTCCAAACCCTTGTATCGGCTGCAATCGTTATTAAGCGCAGAAATTTCCACAATTAAACAGAGGAAAAAACAGAGGTTTAAGACCAATTGCACACGCTGGGATTTGAATTGCATAACCTAAAAAAATTCACTTGACGTCACCGTCATGACCTAATTTTATATAATTTTTCTCTCACGGAAACCCTAATCAAACAGAGATTGTTAATAATCCTCAAAACAACAGAGTTTTGTTTCGCCGCACTTACAGAGCCAGGGGTGAAGGAGGCGAAGTTGGGATCGCCGCCGGCCTTGGGAGGAGACATGCGGCCGCGCATGTACGGATCGCAGGAGAGGTAAAGGTTCTTCACCAAAACCGAGCCTTGTGGAGCCTTGAGCTGAATCTTTCCACCATTGCGGACGGCTAGGTGCGATTCCTTAGGGAATCCGGTCACGTACTCCGTCAGCACCACCTGCTTGTTCTCCATTTCTGTCACAGAGCCCGCCATTGTTTAAGTAAGCTTCTTGTTGTTTTGTTGATTTCTTTCTTTCTCTCTTTTCTTTTGCTGATGACTGATACTGAAATTGGGGAACTGATCGGCATTATATATAAGTTTGGGGGGTTAGGCGGTGGGGGAAGAGAAATTGGGGAGGTGGGAGGCGAAAGCAGTGACGTTTGCTAGTTTGTAGTGTGAATTATTGGACGGCGGCGGAGGGAGGGAAAGGAAAGGAAAGGAAAGGAAAGAAAGAAAGAAAGCTGGCCGACGACGGTGGCTCCCATATGTTTGCGTTTATATGGATGCTGACGTCAGGGATGACCGTCGTGGGGGAAAAGTAAAGGCGTGTCTCCGCTTTGCTATTTTCTATTTTCCCGCGCTGTTCTATTTCCTTCTCTCTTTTTGTCATTTTTTTTTACAGAAACCTGCATACGATTTTATTACTCAGCTGAGGTGCTTACAGAGTCAAATCGAAGCTGATCCGAAATACAATCAGGTGGTACGTCGAACCAAACCACACGTTCATTCCACTTAGTAATCTTATGAGCCATCGCGTGCGCCACTGCATTAGCCTCTCTACTCATGTGCTTCCATCTGCCCAAACTAGTCCCACTCAGCCCCCTGCGAATACTGCGGCATAATACACCCATCTCATTCTGCATCTCTTCAGCTCGGTTTAAATTATGGACAAGAGCTAGACAGTCAGTCTCCAGAACCACGTTCGGTAGTTGGAATTGCATGGCTAGCTGGACACCTAGTTCCGCCGTCAGGGCCTCAGCTTCCTAAACTTCCCACACCCCCGGAATACTCTTTGCCGCCGCCAAGATGAACTATCCCCTCGAGTCCCTAATTACCACTCCGAGCCCAACCCTAGCATCATCCCAAACACCTACATCCGTACATACGGAGGTACATTCGGGTGGTGGTTTCTCCCACTTCTTATGAGTCGGTGCACTGTAAGGCTCTTCGTGCTGCTTCTGGTTCTGTTTGTATTCCTCGAGCATTAGTTGGGCACGACCCGGTATCTCCTCCTCGGGTAGTTTAGCTCCATTAAACAAATGAGCGTTTCTTTCATTCCAGAGATACCAAAGCAACACACACAAGCCCTCCAACTCCTCCACTCCCCTCGTTTCCAACAACCTTGTAACCCATTCAAGGAAATTTTCACTTCCTTTAGATTCGGAAATTCCCACAAAACTAGTCTTCCTCCATATCCTCGAAGTCCAGGCGCAGTCCAAGAAAAAGTGATCTTGTGTCTCTCGTTGGTCGCAGAACGGACAACTCTCTCCCTTCCTTGGATCCCGTTTACTGACTAGCATGCATTTCGGGAGAATCTCCCGAGCAAACCTCCACATAAACTGTCGGATTTTTGGTGGGATACCCATACCCCATACCTTCTTCCACATTGCCGCTGTACCCGTAGCTTCCACTCCTTCCCGCCTTTGAAAATCTTCTAGCCACAATCTGTAACCCTCTTTAGCTGTGTATGTTCCTGTTTTACTGTTGTGCCACACCAATCTATCAACTTCCTCATGTCCTCTTAAGGGAATCTTCATTATTGCCCGAGCCACTTCATGAGGAAAGCAGCTCTCTATGATCGTCTCGTCCCAACTATTTGTGTCCGGGTCTATGAGCTCATTCACATAAGAGTCAATAGGCAATCCCATAGGGGCCGACGGGATGAAATGCTGCTCGAGGATAGGGACCCAACGATCCCCCCAGATTTTAGATTCTAACCCGTTCCCTATCCTCCATCGCAAACCTTGGTTTAGCAGATCCTAAGCGTTGAGCAAGCTTCGCCAAACAAAGCTTGGCCTATACCCCAACGTAGCATCCAACACCGAACACCTCCTATGATATTTCGCTTTTAATATTCGGCCTATAAGAGAGTTTGGCCTTTGGAGGAGATTCCATAGTTGTTTGTCATCTTCTTGATCGGGAAGAAATATAGTTTACGGTTGAGATTTTACGTTTTGTACTTGACCTATCTATAATCACTCAAAATGAGTGATTATTAATAAGGAATTGTCTATTCAACTTTCTTTTGTAACAAAAACAAAATCTAAACCTTTAAACAAAGTAATTTCCAAACTCATACATATAATCAATGTATCAATTTGGAGAATCCCAACCTCCAAACTATACAATAACCCCTCCATTCAAATGATACTATTTTCGATTGTTTATAATTATTCAAATTCTTCGTTTAAACTATCTGAGAATTTATACATAGAATTTAGTTCAAATAATTTGTTTGGATAGAGACCCATCTTCTTCTACATGACTGGAGTTTGTTTTCGTCATCGTTGAGAAGTCTGTTTGGGGGAGAAAGACAATGTGATACATAAGATGAATGAAAACAATGTGATGGGCAAGCAGTGATAAATTTGGCATAAATGGATAAATTAGTGTGGGATTTTAAAATAGGATGGATCGGTTATTTTGAAAACCTGCACATGTGTGTTTTCAATTCTGGGAGGTGCAAAATCACTCGTTCAAAGAATCATTTCCAAACGAGTGAATATAATGAAATCTGATAAAATGAGGAATTTGAGACAAATTCGCCATCCAAATGACTCATCGAAGAAATGAAACTTAAGTATTTACCATTTTGGGTAGAAATTCCAAAGTGAAATAATCCGTCCAAAGAATTCGGTACAAAACTAGTTAAAGCTAAATATGGTTTCATTTTGATCAATTTAGATTAGGAATGACGACATCGATATGGGTATTTTATCCGATTTATCCAGACTTGTATTGGGGGCAAGGCGAGGCAGATATGTGTTAAGAAATGGAATCAAAACATATATAACTCGAAGCAGAATCGAAACGGAGACAGAGATTTACGTGGTTTCCTTGATCGGTGTGATCAATACTAGTCCACGGCCGAAGCTATCAACTCTCGTATTATCTTCGCTTCAAAGCAGGTTCAAGATACTAATATATATATAAACCTAACCCTAGCCGAGAGGGAGGAGATCGGCTAGAATAGGCTCTCCTAGACTAGGCCTATAACTGCTATACAATAATTACATTGGCCCATACGCCAATCCATAACTCCCCGGCCTCCCCCAAATTGATGGAGGTCTCGCATCATCAATTTGCCAGCGAGATAGAAATGGCGACTAGCAGTGAAGGCCTTAGTCAGTGATGACTCGATATTTGCACATGTTTTCCCCTTTGTTTCTTGATCGTTTAAGCTTGCATTATCGCTTCTTTGGCCTATTTTACGCTAGGGTGTGTTCCTTTGTCACATTTCAGGCCCTAGCACATAAAGTGAAGCATAGGCGCAAGTTTCAAGTCAATCAGAGATCAATTGACGATTCGGGAGAAGAAACTCGGGCATGACCTGAGGAATAATGGATTTCTACCTCATATTATGGACAAATTATCATGGAAGTTTGTTATGAAAAGAAAGAGGACGAGACTACGAGCGTCTGGGTTCAAACGGCGACTGATTTGGAGTCCGGACGAGGGAGAAACGAAGCTTTGAACAGGAGCGGAGGAAGAATTACGGGCAGGAGAATTACGACCGTAATTTGGCCTCCCATGCCCGTAATTTCACTGCCGAGAGGAGCTTTGGGTGCGCTGAAACTTAACCAAAACGCGTGTTTTGGGAAAAATACGGGCATGGAAGAATTACGTACGTAATTCAGCCAGTAATTCGCCCAGAATCGGGTTTTTGAGGCAGATTCGAGCCAAAGGAAAGGGAGAGCTGGGGTTTGGTTCCCAAACACCCAAGGGACGAACCCTAGAGAGAGAGAACGACTTGGGAACATTCTTGGAGCTATTTTGGAGGATTTCTTCGCCATTGGAGCTCGGGAATCAAGCTTGGAGATGGAGATTGAAGATCTAGATCAGATTTCTGCAGTCTCTCTCTTCTCTATGGAGTAACTTCCCCTCACTTAGGTTTTGAAGAACCCTAGTTCCATGTGTTAGGATCTTTCTTGTATGAAGTTTTGGATGCTATATTGTTTGATTATAATCGATTGAGGCATGATTTATTGAGTCAATTGAATCTTGATCAAATTCTCTTGATTTCTGCTTTAACCTATGATAGATAGAATCTGATTAGGTTAAGAGAGCTTCCCTGATTGATAGTGGTGAATTGGTTGTGCGAGAGTCAATCAATTCACTGCTTTGTACTGGAATTCATTCCAGTAGTGGAGATCTGAGTGAATCGCCTTAGCAGTCTATCCCGGTGAAGGCTAGTCGCCTGCCGGGTATTCTGTCTGAGAGGGCTTGGTCAGCTTAAGAGATTCCAAGCTAATTTAGGATCTTCCGCAGTTTAATCAATAGTAGATCAACCAAAGGTAATTGCAACTTGGACCTAATTGAGGAGCTAGGGGGAATCATACCTAAGTGAGTTCCCAACTTGTAATTAGTAGAGTAGTTGGTAGAGTAGTTTATAAATCAATCCTTAATCTAGTTTGCTAGATAATGAACTGAAGCTGAGTAATAGTAACTCTAGAGACCCGTGGATTCGATATTTATTACTTGTGCCACTATATTGCAGTCCCTTTCATTGGTTACACTTAGCCATTGTTAGGTGTTGTGTTTTAGCGTACCAAGTTTTTGGCGCCGTTGCCGGGGACTTTCTAGATTATTAGGAAAGGCAGAAGTTTGTTACTTTAGCATTTTCTTTTTCTTTTCCACCCTTGCTTTTCACTTGGGTGTTTTTGTTTTTGTTGGTGCAGATCTGAATCATGGACCCTCATGGCTTCTCCAATCATTGGGGGTATCCACCACCATCCGAGTGGTATTACCCCGAGACCCCCTGGAGAAATCAAGGAGGAGAAGACTATGGATTCGGGTTCCAGTACCAACCCCCTTACTACGGAGAACAACCAGACCCCTGGGCATATCAAGAACAACCTAATTACCAAGAAGACTTCCTCCCACAACCAGAAGGGCCATCGGAGCTGGAGTTACCCATGGCGGCCTTCACAGGCCATTATGCAGAGCCATGCTACACTCCACAACCAGATCCAAACTATGAATTGAGGCTTCTCATGGAGCAGTTTGCTCGAGACTGTGAGAGATCATGCTCCAGGATGGATCATTGTGTCCAGGCCTATCGTGAAACAGAGGAGATCCTCCTGAGCCTTAAGAAGAGCGTCGATGATCTTGAGCGATCTTGTGCACAACCCGCTCCAGATCACCCTTCTGCTGCCATACTAGAAGAGGAGGAGGAAGAAGAAGGCTACAAGGACATTGTGGAGCACACTGAAGTTGTCACGGAGAGCTCCCGTGAT